AAACCCCCCTACACCCCCACCCAACACCACCCCTCACCACCCAACGCCATGTTAGTTTTTGTATCCCCCCCCCCCCCACCCACCACCCCACTCCACCCCCTTCCCCCCCCCCCTCCCCCCCCCCCCCCCACCCCACCCCCCCTCCCCACCCCCCCCCCCCCCCCCCACCGCCCCCCCCCCCACCCACCCCCCGCCCCCCCCCCCCCCCCACCCCCCCCCACCCCCCCACCCCCCCCCCTCCCCCCCCCCCCCCCCCCCCCCCCACCCCACCCCCCCATCATTCCCCCTTCCTTTTCTCATTCCATCTCATGCCTTCTTTTTAATTCATTCATTCTCATCCGCACGCAATCTTTTTCTGAGCACCTTACACCGTAGCAACTGAATACTATGTATGGCATTCCCTCCCTCAACAACATCGCCCTCAAACATCAAACTTATGGTCCTCTCTTTCGAATGTGCTTATAAACACCTACAGAGATAAAGCTCCTGTTCCTAGATGGGGACTCTTCTTTCCAAGATGGTCAACACAGGAGCCCCCTGGCAATGCGATGTAAGGGGCGGGGGGGGGGGTGCGCCATTGCCTTCACGCCACCTGAATCAAAGATCTCGACCACAATCATGCAGCAGTCTGGACGCCGCTGTGCACAGCCTGCTGTAGATCACAACCTCTTCACACTTGTGACTAAAATTCAACCAAAAAGGCCTTGAGTACGGACTTTCCAAACGTTGGCAAACATGCAGTCGTAAAGGAAGACAACGTCAAGAGGCCCCCAACATAATTTCCGATGAACCAATCGTATCGCATTCTCTGATGGCAGAAGCTCCTTGGGCTGCCATAGGGATATACGACACCTCGTCACCAGCTAGTACAACAAAAGGTGGCCTATTGGACGCACAGTAGAAATCTGTCAACATCCGCATCACACCGTCAACTCACTCAGCATTCCGCTGCTGAGTCACAAATGGGACCTACTTACCTTCGCCGACAGTCCGATATTCAGAGCCCAATTACACCCCTCGAAGACGCCATCAGACAGAACTCTTGTCCCACCAGTAACTCAGGTCAAATGCTTTCAAGGACCTGACAGACACTGTTAGCCCTAATCAGTACTACATGACGTGCAGTGCTGCTGCTTTGTCAGTAAACGTTCAACTTACAAGGAAACTTTAAACAAGAAACAATTACAATGATTTGGTCCCCAATATAAGCAGTTTCACTTACAACGGAGCAAGCACCGACAACCACTGTAGAGTTGATGATAGTGTCAGTGGAACCCTCCTCTACAGAGCGGGCCTCCGAAGATCGGCCTGACTCTCTCCACGGCCATCACGCCAATACCAGCAATCTCCCGCGCCGTAAAACCTTAATTGATGTTTCCGTAGTTGCCCTGTCCTACGGTGCAATGTTGATCTCATTTGTTGCGTTCGTGGTGGTAAAGGTTGATAGAGGAGGTTCACTGTAATCGAATTGAGGGGTTCATACCAAATTATCCACCCCCTCAGTTTTAACGTTCCCGCAAGACATGTTGCCAAACAACTAGAGAGAACACAGCTGCAGAATTGCGTGCTATGCCACTAGTCCCTCGTAGCAACACCCATCCTAAAGAGAGGATTTTATACAAAGCATGAAAGCAAACGAGTCGAGGACGCAAACCTATGATGATAAGGAGGAGAATGTATCTCCCCTATCGTCACCCCCCTATCATGTCATGTCCCCGCAATTTCTGGTATTCGATGGAACGGAATGTCTTCCATATTAGACTTACCATATTTAAAACCTCTAAAAAATCGGCCACCTCTCCACTTCCGACCAACGGCCACGCAGCGCGTCCCCAGCGCACTTTCCTATTGATTTTTGCTCTCTTCTCATCAACGGTCAAAACCACACCCATAACAAAAATCGATTATAATACATGCATCAGTAGCAAGTGATTCCACTAGTTCTTTTGCATCTTGTTTGTTTATATAAGCAGGTGGACGACCTCGTCGAACCAGCTTACGAGACGTCGACGCCGGCGCCGTGCGGAAGAAGAAAAATACCGAAACGAATCTCTCCCAGAATCACTGGATCGATAACCAGGTGACGCTCGTTGTGTCTCAGCCAGGTAATCACTTTCGATCGCTGGACTGGCTTGGTTAGCCTCAGCAGCTGCAGTTGGCAATCGACAGACAGGTCATGGTGAGAGATCGAGTGAATCCGTGGACTCCGATTCGATAGACAGCAACACACTTCACTGGCACAAGTCCAGCACATGTGTGCATCGCCAGTCCCTGGAAAATTCGTCGGGAAGCGTCGGCGAGCTAGCACAGACGAGATAAATGTAACACAGCCCTGCGTATCCACCGCGTCTGATAAGTCCATTATCAACAACGCTTGCCGGGTTGATGTGTCGTGCTTGCGCAATTCGACCGGTATGACGATCTGGCCTTTTGTGGAGATGATGGTTTTCATGTCAAGTAAGGTAACATCTTACCAGGGAAATTGTCGATCCTGAGAGATTCATGTGTTTTTCCGAAATCGGGCCGATAGGGTGTTCCATGGGACATCCCCTCTATCGTATACCCGGCAAGGCCGCGGGAAACACGAGCCGGAGGGGGGATCATTCAGGAAGCAGCCTGCCCGAGATGCAGAATTGCCGTTGGAAGGAGTATGATGGTTTTCCTGACATGAAACCGGAGGTTCGACGGGAGGTTCGACGATGGAAGCATGCAAGGTCTTTGACCCGGACCACAGGGGGGAAGCCTGTGAATTTCTGAAGCAGCAGGGGTACGTGATATTCGACCGGGTCTTCCGGGGAAAAGAACTGCAGCAGATCACTTCAGACTGTGATCGGCTGATGGCCGAAGAGCGCGAAGTCCCCTTCGATCCGGGGGACGGACCGAAATCCCCCGGCGACGCTGAGATAGAGGCCTATCTGGCCAGGACCTACAAGGTGAATGCGGCCGAGCTGAGTCGGGTCATGAAGAGGATCCGCCACACCCGGGCCGGCAATCATGCCACCCCTTGGCCGGTGCCCGCCGAGAAAGTGAACCACAATTTCTCACATCCCCCTGCTCCTGGACGAAGGACGCTTGCAGCGTTGCTTCAACCTTCCGGCCAAGCTGAGCGGCTGCGACCGTCTGTTCGACCATCCCATTCTTCGGCACCTCATGGGTGAATTACTGGGGGAGGATTGCGTGCTGTCCGACATGGCCGCCACCCGGATCGGCCCCCAGTCGGAGCCTTCCTACTGGCATGTCGATTCGCCGTTCACCATGGTCCCCGAGCCACTCCCCGCCATCCCCATGGCTATCGCCATCGGCTGGATGCTGGACGACTTCACAGTTGAGAACGGCGCTACCCGAGTGGTGCACGGGACCCACCTCAGCGGCAGGAAGCCGCCCTGGACCTACGATTCGGTCGAGGGCGAGTTGGCCCTGACGGCCCCTGCCGGCAGCCTGGCGGTGTGGTTTTCCCAGACCTGGCACCGAGCCGGCACCAACCTGACGGACGGCCCCGCCGGGCCGTGCTTGGTAACTTCATTTGCGCCTGGATCAAGCCCTTCACCGATTTCACCCGAAGCATTCCTGACGAGGTGGTGGACCGCTATTCGACCCGCGCCCGCTACCTGCTGGGCTGGTCGGCCTTTGGTCCGGCCCGCGGCTGACCAACCGGGGCTTCTGAACGACGCCATGAACCCATTGCTTTCAGTCCTGATGCTCATGACACTCAGCTTTCTCCTGGCGGGCAGCCGCTCACCTGCCGGCCCGGCAATTCCCCGGACGGCGGGGGATGATTCCTCTCGCTTCCGCTACCTCCTGCTCGACAGCCGCATCCTCGAAGAGAAACACAACGTCCGCTTGGCAGTGGGGACCGTCAGGAAACATGCCGCCAATCCGCTCTTTGGCGAAGACAAGCCCTGGGAGCAGCGTTTCGACAACCTGTACGCGAACGTCATTTACGATGACGAGCAGCAACTCTACCGATGCTGGTACAACCCCTTCATCGCGGACCCACTGGTCAGCAAAACGCCGCGCGAGCAGAGGCACTTGGTACCCTACCGCCCCTACGACCGCGAATTCGGCATCTGCTATGCCTTCAGCAAGGACGGTTTGAAATGGACCAACCCAAGTTGAACCTGGTGGAATTCGAGGGCAGCAAGGCCAACAACCTGTTGCTGCGGGGGGTGCACGGCGCCGGCATCCTCAAGGATTTGCGAGACCCCCAGCGCCTTTACAAGATGTTTTACGGGGGCAACTGGATTGGGAAATGGAAACCGGGAGTGGCGGTTCGATTTTCGGATGATGGGTTGCTGTGGAGCGAACCTGTGGCCTGCCCCGAGGTTCAGGCCAACGGCGACACCCACAACAACGCCTGGTGGGCCCCGGAACTGAACCGTTATGTGGCGATGACCCGGCTCTATGAAGGTCAGAGGATCGTGGGTCGGACCGAGAGTCCCGACTTTCTCAAATGGACCAAGGCGGTGGAAGTCCTGCGGGGTGATCCGGAAAATCAGACCTATGCCATGGAGGTCTTTCGCTACGGTCGAGTCTACCTGGGTTTGGTCATGATCATCCGGCGCAACGAAGATCGGGTGCATTGCGAACTGACCTGGAGTCCCGATTCGATTCACTGGGAACGGATTGACCCGGGCACTCCCTTCATTCCCAATTCGCCGGTCAAAGGGAGCTACGACTGGGGCTGCGTGTATGCCGCCAATGCTCCCATTGTCATCGGGGAGGAGATCCGCATCTACTACGGCGGCTCCAACGGAGCCCACCGCAATTGGCGTGACGGGGCATTTTGCCTGGCGACGCTGCGTCAGGATGGGTGGGCCGGCTATGAGCCGTCGATCCCGGCAAGCAGGCAACCCTGGTGACCCAACCGGTGAGGTGGCGCGGTGGCTTGCGCCTGACTGCGGACTCGGAGTCCGGCCGGGTGAAGGTGGCCGTCATCGGTGACCAAGGGAAGGTTTTGGCCACGAGCCGGCCCGTTGAGGGCCGCGTGACCGACGGCGAGGTGCACTTCGACGGACCGAATGGCCTGGAAGACCTGGCCGGGCGACCGGTTCGTTTGAGGTTTGTGCTGCAGAGGTCCAAGCTCTATTCCTTCGTGCTGACGCGGTAGACCCCTTTTCCGTTGCTATCCATATCGACCCTTCGATTCTTGTCTTACATCGATCAACAGGATGGACAGGATGAAGAACCAGGCGATCCTGTTTATCCTGTCTATCCATGTTTCTATCAGTATTGCCGCCACCGGCTGCAGCGGTCCTCTCCAGTCGATCCAGTCCTGCCATGCCCAGGCACGCCCCTTTGAACGCACTGATTCGGGAAATCCCTTGCCTGCGGCATCAGTCAACTTAATTTGAAAACGCAACATTAGCCCGCATTTCTCACCACAGGTTGCACTCTTGAGAAGAGTGCAGGGAGTGAGGGTCGTGTTTAGCGTCATTCTGGAGAGGCAGTGTGTTCCGGGACGATGCCACAAAATCGCCGCCTACGCGGCTGCGGCCTGCACAGAATCCACATGACCCCGGGCTCACACCCGGGGCTAAGTGCTGCCGCGGCTACGCCGCTCTATAAGGAAGCCTTGTAGGCAGCGTTTCGCCGGGTCACCCACTCCAACCGCGGCTTCGCCGCTCTCCCCAAAATCACAACACTGCAGGGGGACAGGATTTTTAGTTGACAATCCCCCAGGTGCCAGCCCGGGGTTCCAGTAAGCCGCGAACGCGGCGTCCGCACTTAGCCGTGGGCGTGAGCCCATGGAAAGCTCGGCGTTGGAGTTGAGCCGCGTAGGCGGCGGCAGCAATCATCCCGGGTGCTCGGTCTCAGACAAGCCAGGGTGCGCCCAGCGCAGTGTGTACCCTCAAGGCTCTCCCGAAAAGCGCTTCAAGATGCTAAAAAAATACTTTCCCAGGCGATACCCAGAGACCTGGTGAGAAATGCGGGCTTGGTCAGGAAGGAGTGATCCACGAAGGGCCACTAAGACACATTAAGAAGGATTGAGCTGCGTCGCCGACAAGCGGCGGCCGAAGCAACTCATTTTTCTTTTAGTTTTTCTTCGTGTCCCTTCGTGGTCCTTCGTGCCCCTTGGTGGATATTTTTTTGTCCTTCGCGGATTGAAAGCCGACGTTTCCTACCCTTGGTGAGAAATGCGGGCCAATCTAGCCCACGGGTTAAAGCAGGATTTCGTCGATGACGCGCCCGCCAATGTCGGTGAGCCGTTTGAAGCGCCCCGCATGGAGGAAGGTCAATTGGTGCTGGTCCAGACCCATCAGGCGAAGCAGGGTGGCGTGCACGTCACGCACCGGGAGAGATTCTCCGGCGCTGCGGAGCGCGAATTCATCGGTCTGTCCGAAGGTGGCTCCGGGGCGCACGTCTCCGCCCGCCATCCACATGACCAGTCCGAAGCGATTGTGGTCCCGGCCGGGTTTGTCCGATACCACGTTGGAATCGAAAGGCGTCCTTCCCATCTCCGACGCCCAGACCACCAGGGTCTCTTCCAGCATTCCCCGGGATTTCAGGTCCTTTAGCAGGCCGGCGATGGGCTGATCGACTTCATGACACAAGACCGGCAGGCGGCCGGCCAAATCCCCGTGCTGATCCCAGGGTTTGCCCTTGCCGTGAAGAAGCTTGACGAAGCGAACCCCCCGCTCCACCATGCGGCGGGCCATCAGGCACTGGCGGCCGAAGGTTTCCGCAACCGGGTCATCGAGCCCGTAGAGCTTCCTGGTGGCTTCCGACTCCCCGGAGAGATCGATCAACTCCGGCGCCGCGGTCTGCATTTGAAAGGCCATCTCATAGGCGGCGATTCGCGCTTCCAGCTCTCCGGTGTGGGACCGCTGCCGGGCGTGCCGCTGGTTCAGCCACTTCAGCAGGTCGAGTTCGCTACGCTGGCTTTCCGGGGAGGTCCCGGCTCGCGGGTGCAGATCGACGATGGGATTGGAGCCCGGACGGAAGAGAGTGCCTTGGTGGGTGGCGGGCAGGAAACCCTGGCTCCACTGGGCAGCGCCGCCCACCGCAGGAGCCCCCTGTCCCAGCACGATAAAGCCGGGTAAATTCTGATTCTCGCTTCCCAGACCATAGGTCATCCATGCCCCGATGGCCGCTCCGCCGGGAAGGATCTGACCCGTCAGGGAATGATAGACAGCCGGAGCGTGATTGCTGCTGTCGACCGTGACTCCGTGGAGAAAGGCCATGTCGTCGACACAGGTCGACAGGTGCGGCAGCAGTTCCGACATCCACCGGCCGGACTGGCCGTGTCTGGCAAAGCTGAAAGGGGAAGGAATGATGCGATTGTGGGCGGTTCCAAGGCTGGCCACGTCCAGGTCGGTCCCGCGGACGGAGGGCATCTGCCGGCCTGCATACTTGTCGAGGGCCGGCCGGTACTCGAAGGTGTCCATCTGGCTCACTCCACCTTCCATGAAGAGAAAGATGCAGTGTTTGGCCTTGGCCGGCAAGTGAGCCGGCTTGGGCAACAGCGGATTCTCGGCCGAACCGGCCGAGGCGCCCAGATTGGTTGCCAGCAGATCCATCAGGGCCAGGCTGCCGAGGCCCAGATAAGCGTTCTTCAGAAACTCCCTGCGGGAGGGTAGAGGGTTCATGGTGGAATCCCCGTGAGGGCACCTTCGGATCGGGCCAGATGGAAGCTATCTTACGCTAGTCTATGAACAATAACTCGTTGGAATTGAGGATGACCCGGCAAATGGCTTCCAGAGACCCTGGAAACTCCACAAAGTGCTGCTGCTCGGCCTGGTCGGGCGGCCGATTCAACACGATCTCGAATAATCGGGCCACCCGATCCTTCCGCCGGCCACCGGCTTCTCTTTCCACCCGGGCGGCCAGATGGGTTGCTTCCTCGTTCACCAGCCGGCCGTTCATCATCGTAAGGGCTTGCAGGGGAGTGGTCGTGACGCTGCGGCGTTCACAGGATTCGTTGAAGACCGGAGCATCGAACGAAGCCATCATGGGCAATGGGAGCGACCGCCGCTGAAAGATGTAGACCGACCGTCGCCGGGCGTCGCGTTCACTTTCGCTGGACTCCCACATCGAACCCCCGGTCCGGGCGGGACGGCTCAGATCCTTCATGTCTTCAGGCAGAGGCGGAAAGACGCTGGGCCCTCTTCGTTCCGGATTCAACCGGCCGCTGGCAGACAAAATGCTGTCTCGGATGGCCTCCGCCTCGAGCCGGCGGCGGTTGAATCGCCACAACAGGCGATTCTCCGGGTCCAGGGAGGAATCCCTTACCCTGGGATTGTCCGCCGACTGGCGGTAGGTGCTGCTGGTCACCATGAGCCGATGCATGGCTTTCACGCTCCAGCCTTCTTCGGCGAACCGCACCGCCAGCCAATCCAGCAGTTCGGGATGGGTGGGACGGTCGCCGTTCTTGCCAAAGTCGCTGGCAGTTCCCACAATGCCGCGTCCGAAGTGCTGCTGCCAGATGCGGTTGACCATCACCCGGGCGGTGAGCGGATTCTCCGGGCTGGCGATCCATTTGGCCAGCGTCATCCTCCGGCCTCGGGTCGGATACTGGCGGTAGCGGTCCTTTTCCAGCATCGCCGCGGCAACATTTCCGCTGATGGCGCTGGGGAATCCGGGGTCGACCGCCTCTCCGGGTTGCCGGTAGTCCCCGCCCTTCAGCACGCGGGTGGCAGGGATTCCGGGACCCAGCGGAGGACCGATCGCGTTGGTCACCGTCAGGGCCAGCGGCCTCCAGCGCAACAGCCGGCGCCGCAGAACCTCCATGATGTCCGAAAGTTCAAGGTGCCGCTGCTTCTCCTCTCGGGAGACGTACTTCGAAGGCTCATTCACCCGGCGGGCTTCAGCGCGGACATCCGCCAGCGTCAGCGCCCGAAAACGCCCCAGCGGATCGGCGACCCGGTCGGCATAGGCCGCGGTGAGATTCTGGAGCAGCCGTCCTTCGTAGCGGGCCAGGGCCTGGTGGTCGGCCTGCTCCTGCGTGCGTCCGGCTGTTTCCTTCAAGCGATCGTATTCCGCTTTTTCCTCGGCGGAAAAGACCTTCTGCTCCTTCCGCGCGAATTCGAGCTCCAGGTCCCTGGTGGTGAGGTTTTCGGAGATCCCCTCCGAGATCTTTTTTGAAATCAGCTTGTCGAGAAGCGCCTGTTCGAACGCCTCCAACTCCTGCTTCTCCGGTCCGTTTTCGAGGCGCTCCCGGTACTGCTTGATTTTGGATTCGGCCAAGGTCCTGAACCGCGGGTCCTGGTAGGGAACGATGAACTCTTCAGGCGGAACGCCGGAGGTGTTGCGGGGCAGGGGCACCCGGATGGCGTTGAAGAAAGCCTGGAAGCGATAGTAGTCCCTGGCGGGAATCGGGTCGTATTTGTGGTCGTGGCAGCGAGCGCAGCCGAGAGTCAACCCCAGGAAGATGGAGCCCGTCGCCGTGGTCACTTCATCCAGGTAATCCTGTCTTAGCTGTTCGGAGGCCAGGTTGCCCAGATCCCAGGGCGCCAGCCGCAGGAACCCCGCGGGAATGTGTCCCTGAATTTGCGGTTTGTACCAGGCCTTGCGGCTGTGCTCGTCGCCGCCCGCCAGTTGAAGCATGACAAACCGATCGTAAGGCAGATCGGAATTGAAGGCCTCGATCACCCAGTCCCGATAACGCCAAGCATTCCCTATGAGAATATCTCCTTCCATGCCGTCGGACTCTCCGTAACGGACCAGGTCCAGCCAGTGGCGGCCCCAGCGCTCGCCGTATCTGGCATCGGCCAACAGGGTTTCCACCAATTTTTCGAAAGCGTTCGGTGCAGGATCACCGAGAAAACGATGCATTTCCTCGGGCGTGGGCGGCATTCCGATCAGGTCCAGATAGACCCGGCGCGCCAGCGTCCGCCTGGAGGCAGGAGGGGCCGGAGACAAGCCTTTTTTCTCCTCCAGCCTGCGCAAGATGAAACGGTCGATGGGATTGCTCACCCAGTCGGAGTTCTCGACGTCAGGAGGAACGGTTGTGACCGGTCCGCGGAAAGGCCAAAGCCAAGCCTCAGCCTGTACTCCTCCCGTCGGTTGCAGGCTGCGAATCCAGTTCTCAATCCGTGCAATCTCGCTCTCGGTCAGAACTCCGCCGAGAGGCATCCGGGGATTGATCTGTCCCTTGAGGAGACGGATGAGCGGACTTCCCTCCGCATTGCCCTGCAGCACCGCCTTGCCGTGCTTGTTTCCACCTGAAATCACCGAATGCAGGCTCGACACCGAAAAACCGCTGGTTTGTTCTCCCTCCGAGTGACAGGCTTGACATCGAGCCAGCAACAGGGGTCTGACCTCATTTTCAAAGATGGAATCAGCGGGTTCAGCCATGGCGAGGCAGGGAGCCAGGATGGCCTGTAAGAGCAAGCCGGTCAAGCGGTGGGTACGAGCAGCCATTGACAACTCCATACGTTTGCGACCATTGAGAGTATATCCGAGAAAAAACCTTACAAGTCTACCAGCAGTGCGTCAAGCGGAAGACTCCTGGGGCGATTCTTTGGTTTGGTGGGCTGCAGCCGGTGGCGGCAATCATGATAGAAACAGCGAAGAGCGTAGCGGTCACTACGTTCGAGCGAGCATGCTCGCGCTGAGGGGAAAAGGACAAGCCAGGGCGCGCCCAACGCAGTCTGTGCCGACGAGCCCTTTAGATGGAGCCAATCAAGGTACTTAAGATAAATTGCCTATCATCATGCCACCAGTGACCTGGTGAGAAATGCGGGCTAGGATAGCCTAGCCGCGCAGGCCGAAGCTTCTAATGGATGACAACAAGACCAAGACCCGCAGACGCATCGACCCGCTGAAGGCCGCGCTCGCAGCCTTGATTCTCAGCATGCTGCAAGCCGCCTCCAATTCGGCGGTTCCGGCCCCGAACTTCCAGCTCCGCTCGCCCAACGGGCAGGTCACCGTGGAGGTGGATCTGAAAGAACTGCGAACCCCCTATCCCAGGGGAATCCGTCCCTACTATCGCATTCGCTTCAATCGGGAAACGGTGGTCAGGGACTCCTGGCTGGCGCTGCATCTCAAGGGTGGGCCGCCGCTTGCGCGGGATTTTGTCCTTCTTGGCTGGGAAGCCTCGGCCGGAGAAACGCTCTACCGCCTTCCCTACGGAACCCGGGGGGAACTGCGGGACGCTTACCGCCAGGGAATCCTGCGCCTGCGGGAAAGCAGTCCTCCCGGCCGCCGCCTGGATCTGATTTTTCGCGCCTACGACGAGGGGGCCGCCTTTCGCTACCGCGTTCCTGCCCAGCCCGGTCTGACGAGCCTGGACCTGGTCGAAGAAAACTCCACCTTCTTTTTCCCGGAGGGCTGCCAGGCCTGGGCGCTGCAACTTCGCGGCTACGCCACCAACTATGAGTCGGAGTTCAATGCCCAGCCCCTGTGGCACCTGCAGCCCGGCTCCATCGTCGGCTTGCCGTTGCTGCTGCAGACCTTCAGGGGTTCCTGGCTGGCCGTCACCGAGGCCGACATCACCGACTACGCCGGCATGTATCTGACCCCGGTTCCGGGCATTCCGGAAACGCTGGAAAGCCGGCTCTCACCCCATCCGGGGCGTACGGGAGTGAAGGTCAGGACGGCGGCGCCCCTGCAGTCGCCCTGGCGCGTCTTCCTTCTGGGAAAGACGCCGGGGCGATTGATCGAAAACAACGTGCTGCTGTTGCATCTCAATGAACCGACCCGGATCACCGACACCTCCTGGATCAAGCCCGGCAAGGCCGCCTGGCATTGGTGGAACGGGACCAGCGCCAAAGGGGTCGGATTCGAGCCGGGAATGAATACGGCGACCATGAAGCACTATCTGGATTTTGCCGCCGACCACGGCCTGGAGTACTTCCAGATCGACGCCGGCTGGCATCCGGGCACCGACGAGGAGGGGGACATTACCCGAAGCCGGCCGGAAATAGATCTCTCCCATCTGATCGGATACGCGCGGGAGCGAGGGGTCGGCATCCTGCTGTGGGTGCACTGGAAGAGGGCCCGGGCGCAGATGGAAGAGGCCTTCCGACTGTATGAGGACTGGGGGGTTGCCGGAGTGAAGATCGACTTCATGGATCGCGACGACCAGGAGATGGTCGGCTTTTATCACCGGGCGGCCAGCCACGCGGCCAGCCACCGCCTGCTGGTCAACTTCCATGGGGCCTACAAGCCGGACGGCCTGCGCCGGACCTGGCCCAACATCATTACCCGCGAAGCCGTTCTGGGCCTGGAGTGGAACCGGCTCGGCACTCGCTGCAACCCCACTCACGACCTGACCCTGCCCTTCACCCGCATGCTGGCCGGACCCATGGATTACACGCCCGGAGCCTTTCGAACCGCGCTCCGGGAAAACTTCCAGCCCCGAGTGAGGGAACCGCTGGCCCAGGGGACCCGCTGCCATCAATTGGCCATGTACGTGGTCTACGAGAGTCCCCTGCAGATGTTGGTGGACTACCCCGCCGCCTATCGGGGGCAGCCGGGAATCGAGTTCCTGAAGAACGTTCCGACTTCTTGGGACGGCACCAGAGTTCTCGACGGCCGGGTGGGAGAATTCATCACCGTGGCCCGCAGGAGCGGGAAGCAGTGGTACGTGGGCAGCATGACCAACTGGGCGCGGCGGGAGCTGAGCATTCCCTTGCGCTTCCTGGGTCCCGGGCGTTACCGGGCCGAGGTCTATACGGATGTCGAGGCCGACCCGGCCGGAGTCCGCCGGCAACACCTTCGGGTCCGCTCCACCGACGCGGTGGCGGCCAAGCTGGCTCCCGGTGGAGGCCACGTCATGCGGATCTATCCCGAGAAGCGTTAATATCCTACGGTTGGGAGTGAAAGAGCCATCCGATCAAATTATCTACGGAACTTTCTCCGGAAATAACCCGGGCATCCACCGCCAGGCTAGCGCTGCGGGGAACGTGAGGCGTAGTGGGGCGCGAGAGCTTTCGGAAACCAGCACTCCCTTGTCCACCAGAGCCGAGACAATGCGGCGGGCTTGCCGCTCACCTGTGCCGACAACGGTGCCGGCGTCTCCGCGGGGCAGTTCCCCACGGTAGAGGATTGCTTCCAGAATGCTGCCGGATTTTCGAGGTAGGCTTCCAAGCCTGATTTCCTCTTCCGCCCACAACAGAATTCGGGTGCGGAGGCGGTCTGGCTGAACCAGGCCCTCCATGAAGCTTATCTGGTCAATGCAGACGCTTAGAAAGAACCGAGTGAACTCAGCAAGGGCCTCTTCACTTAAGGCGCCGCGCCCGTCCGGATCGTTGCGGCGTGTCAGATCGCAGTTGGCAAGATGAGTCCTGTACTCCTCGAGGTTGCGGGCAAGACCCCTTGCAACAGACCAGACCGCACCGGTATCAAGCATCTCCAGCAACATACCATGCGACATCAGCCGCGCCACTCGGCCATTGCCGTCCAGGAACGGGTGAATCCATAGCAGCCGATGGTGGGCCGCCGCCGTTGAGATAACCAACTCGGTTCTGCCGATACTCCCGTAAATCTCCTCGAAGCGTTTCAGAAAGCGCGGTACGGCGCCGGGGCTGATGGCGAGATGGCCTCCTACCCGAATGTCGCGCTTCCGCAACTCACCCCGTACAAGGCGGATGCGCTCGTTGGTACGCGGGTCTTCGACCCAGAGGAGATCCTCGGGCAGCAACTCACAAAAACGACGGTGGATTTCGCATATCCCTTCGCCTCTGATGGAGTGGCCCCTTCGCAGCCCACCAGCATCGATCCATCGCTGAACGGAGATATGCGCCTTGGCTTCGAACTGCAGGTTGCGCTTGCGGGAATCCTGGCTGTACTCGTTTTTGAGCGCCCTTTCGATGTCCACCGGATGCGTGTCATGTCCCTCAATGAGGTTGGAATAGTAACAGTTCATAGCCCGCACCAAATCGGCGAGCGAGGCCAACAAACTTGGGGGCAGACTCCGACGAAAACCAGCGGCTTTCTGTGTGAGATCGAATGCGAGGTCGGTAATCATCCCCCGGTGCCGGGAGCCCTCGCTGATCACCAGAGGCTCCATAAGGGAGACGATCTCGCCTCGATCGTCCAGTTCTACGTCCGCTATCATAACCGCCTCGTTTACTGATTCAAGACATTATATGTCAGATAGATAAGGAGTCACTAGCGGCCATATCAGACCACGGGAATGTCCGCAACAAAGTCCGCATACTAATGACCGCACGAACGGTTGATCGTCCCCATCTTTCAGAAACTCCCGGCAGGAACACGGCGTTTGGCGGGTTTTTTGCAAAAAGCCATGGTGCAGACACCGCCAGTACGATGTCGATGAACGAACCCGTGTCGACAAAGTGGACGTGGTCGTAGTTTTTGCAGTGATCGCACTTAGGGGTGTGGTACGTGGGCAGCATGACCAACTGGGAGCGGCGGGAGCTGAGCATCCCCCTGCGGTTTTTAGGCCCCGGGCGCTTACCGGGCCGAGGTCTATGCGGATGTCGAGGCCGACCCGGCCGGGGTCCGCCGACAACACCTTCGGGTCCGCTCCGGCGAGGTGGTGGCGGCCAAGCCGGCTCCCGGTGGAGGCCACGTCATGCGGATCTATCCCGAGAAGCCTTGACCTGGCGGTTCACCTGCGCCGCCTCTCAAACCCGCTGCCGGGCCGGGTGGACTTGGATCGGGAAAGGCACTATATTCTTCCAGGAATGGGAATGGTGAGCCGTGTGATGTGGAGGCCCTGGTCGAGGAAGGGCGCCAAGTCCAGGGTTCGTCGGGAGACTCGTTCCAAACGCCCTCCAATCCAGACAAGCGCCCGTAGCTCAGTCGGATAGAGCACCTGCCTTCTAAGCAGGGGGTCGCAGGTTCGAATCCTGCCGGGCGTACCACATCGGGATATCACAAGGGCTCGCAGTCTGGCGCAAGGACTACCAGGAAGGAAGTAGCTATGGCAAAGACGCAGACACGGCCGTGGGACGCTACGGATTATCTGGAGACCGAGGAGGACATCGTTGCTTATCTGGAAGCGGCGTTCGACGACGGCGATCCGAGACTTATAGCGGCTGCGTTGGGCGACGTTGCCAGGGCCAAGGGTATGACAAAGATTGCCACGGAAGCGGGTCTGGGTAGAGAGAGTCTCTACAAGGCGCTGTCAGCCGATGACAACCCGGAGTTCGCTACCGTGCTCAAGGTAATGCGAGCCTTAGGGCCTTCGGCTTCACGCCTCCGCTGTGGCTGTTCAATAACGTCTGGAGTTAAATCCGTTCGTCGTGAGCCGTGTGACGAGCACAGGACAGAGCGGGATGTCGTCCGGCGGACATGGGCGCGGATACGAGTGATTAAAACCGATCGGCGCGATAGGCTTCGAACTGGCTGTCCTCCACCCGATGGGCCACCAGATCGGCAATGATCCGGCCTGAGGCGGCAGCGCCGGTGAGCCCGAGGTGCCCGTGGCCGAAGGCGAAATAGACCGAGGGGTGAACCGGAGACCGGCCCAGCACCGGCAGGGAATCGGGCATGGACGGGCGGCAGCCCATCCAGCGAATGGCCCCCCGGCCGTTCAGGGAGGGCAGGGCCTGGCTGGCGGCCTGGAACAGGGCATCGGCTCGGGCGAAGTTCGGCTTGGCGTGGACGCTGGCCAACTCGACCGTGCCGGCCAAGCGCAACCCTCCTTCCATCGGTGTCAGGCCAAAGTATCGGTCCCCGTGGACCACGGTTCGCTGCAGCTCAATCCCAGCCTGGGGCAGCATGAGGTGGTAGCCGCGCTCGGCCTCCAGCGGCAGCCGGCTGCCCAGCTTGGCCGCCAGGGGTCGCGAATAGGCCCCGGCCGCCACCACCAGTTGATCTACCGGATGGCGGCCCCCATCGGTGACCACCGACCAGACGCCGTCCGAGCCCGTTCGAAAGTCGGTAACCCTCTCCCGCAAGATGACTCCGCCGCGGCGCACGAAATCCTCGGCCAGCAACCGGGTCAACCGCAGCGGGTTGGTGGTATGGGCCGACTCGGGGTAGAAGGCTGCCTGCCCGCATCGGTCCGCCAGCGCCGGCTCCAGTTCCCGGACCCCTTTTTGATCCAGCATCTCCACCTTGACGCCGCAGCGGCGCAGCAGGTCGAACTTGACCTGGGCCTTGGCAAAGACGCGCTCCGACTGGTAGACGTCCAGCCTGCCGTTGCGCCGGATCAGGTGCTCGGCGCCGGCCTGCTCCAGGAGCGGAGCGAAAGCGGTCAGGGCATCCTTGTTGAGCCGGTAGAGGGCTTTGGCGATCTCGCCCACACGTCTGGGGGAACTGGCTGCCATGAAACGCAGCAGCCAGGGGAGGAGCGCCGGCAGGTAGGGCCAGCGAATGGTCAAGGGCCCCAGGGGATCCATCACCATGGCCGGCACTTCTCTGGCCATGCCGGGAAGGCCGAGGGGCACGCAGTAGCCGGTCACGAACTGTCCCGCGTTCCCGCTGCTGCAGGCTTCACCGGGGCCGCCGGGATCGATGACCATGACGCTGTGGCCGTCGCGCTGCAGGTACAGGGCGCAGCAGACGCCCACGATGCCGCCGCCGACCACGGCGATCCGGCAGCGGCTGTCGTTCGGTGGAGGTTTTGTTGAAATCATGTTGCTTGCGCCCCCCAGACCGGTCCGCTGTTATAACCCAGTCCCCAGCACAAACCGTGCCCGTTCCAGGCGAAGCATCTCAAAGGGCGTGAGGCACTTGATGCCAAGGCCCATGCAGACGTTCGGAATCTTGATCCTCTTTTTCGAATCGGACGGAAATTCGTGGGTAACGATGTCGTAGCCGCCAGCAAGCGCCTGGGCGATCAAGTAGAAATCGGCGACACCAAGGAACGTGTCGATAGCGGTGGGTTGGTAACTCTGAATGGTAGCCCAACGGCTGACGGTTCCCAAGGCGACAGGCAACTCCGACGATGGTCGGAGGAAGAATCCAGGACCAGCGCTCTTGCCCACTCCGAAAGATCATCATCGCCCGCCTCGATTTCGTCACCGACTTTCTCGATACTGAAGACCCGCCCTCTCTGGTTTGCCTGGACGATCCAATCCCAGAAAGCGGGACAGAAATCAAAACCGTAGTGCAGGTTCTTGGCTCGGATGAATACGTCCGCATCCAGTAGATACGCCACTACAATCTCACTTGCAAGCTTGCCGCGAAATCCCGCAACGTCGATGTCTTCCTGATGCCCAACAGACGAAAGGATTCGGAGAACGAGGTGCGGCCGCCCAATGTACTGATGGCCAGGGCGAGGCCGAACCGATGGCCGACGCGCGTTCTGAGGGTCTGATGGAAGGCGCCCCCTCCGCTCCTCGGCATCCTGCGCAGCCGGACAAGCTCTCGACGGTAAGCTGACATGAAGTCGACGCGGTCGAGCTCCCCCGCGTCGAAAACCCGACGCAAAACCACCAATGTGCTGACCTTGAAACGACGAGCCAACCGGTTGAGCTCGTCCCTCAAGTCCTGGGCACGTCGATACTCCTGGCGCAGCAACTCCATGGGCACGAGAAGCTCTGCCGCGACCCGGTTGCACCAAACCTCCACAGCGTGCAACGGCTCGGAGGTCGCCTCGACATCTGAGAGCGCCGATTCGCCCAGCCAAAGGTGCGCCAACTCGTGGGCCAAGGTGAACATCTGGGCAGCCTTGGTGTCGGCACCGTTGACGAAGATAAGCGGGGCGAGATCGTCCGACAGGGCGAAGCCGCGGAACTCGTCAGGATTCAGCTTTCTAGAGGTGTTGTTGCCGACCACGCCGTTTTCCATCACCAGCACGCCAAGTGCATCGGCCTGCTCGATAAAGCGGCGCAACGCATCGCTCCATGTGGTCGCGCTGCGGCGCTCTTCGAGGTCGAACCCCAGAACAGCCCCCATTGCCGCCGCAGTGGACTTGACAGAACTGGCAGGCGTCGCCGAACCCACAAACGGCAGTGGATCTTCGCCCTCCATGCGGGCGAAGTTTCGATACCAGTCCTGGCGTTGTTGGCAGAGATAGACCGTGTCGAGCAGGTCGACGCTCGGCTGGCCGGACCGCAAATTGGCAACCGTTCGGAAATCCGGGATGGGAAGGTGCTCCTCGGGAGGCTCCGCAAGGAAGAAGTATCCTACCGAGGCGTGCACGGTCCTGGCCAATCGTTCGAGCTGTTTGAGCGTCGGTCGCGCGGCGCCGCTTTCCCATTCCCGGTAGCGTGGAAAACGATTCGCCAGGGTGTCGGTCTCAATGCCGGCTCGCTTGCGAGCCCACCGCAACACCTGAGGATTGACGTCGACAGGCGGGGTCATTCAGCCTTCCTTCATCCTTGGAAACGTCGGAGCACTCCGGCAGTCGCACCCGGGTCCAGCAGCGCGCACCCTCTCCGGGTGAAGAGCGGGAGTTTTCAACGCACTTCAACGAAAATCGGATTCGAGTAGAACCAGAGGTCCTTCCAGGGGTCCTCTCCGCGAGGGTCGGGCTCCGGTTCCAGCTCCCGGGTGTTGGTGCCCCGAATCCGGAGGTACACGTCGCCGTCGATGCCCTCGAGGGTATGGCTCATGGTCCGATACTCCCCCTGGCGGGTCCAGTCGCCCTGGCTGAAACGACGAACCACCCGGGTGGTGGGGTTGCGGTCCCGAGCGGGATCGGGCAGCGGACCGGTCAGGCTGCCGACAATCAAGTCCACCCGGGCGACCTCCGGGTTGTCCCGATGCCAGTTGGGGGTCTCGGGGTCTCTCAACCGGATGGTGACCTCGACGGAGGCTCCGGCGGCGGCCTCAAGGGTTCCCCCGATTTCCGCCCTCCGGTCCCGAGACCGCGCCGTCACAAATAGCTCCGAGACGAGATCCCCGGTGGTCACGAAGACGCGACCCCGGCGGAGCCCTTCCAGGATTCCCGAGTGCGACTTTTCGGCGTAGACATAGGTCTTGGAGTATTCACCGGGCCAGAAGTCACTGCCACCCTCGGTGTAGTGCACGTGGGAATCGGAGTTGGCGGTGATCCACCACCGGCGTCCCTCCCCCACCATCGAGTCCCAGAGTCCGCCCAGCCGAGCGGTCATGGGATCGAATCCTCCCCGGGTCGGATAGCGGCCATAGGACCCGCGGGGATTCTCAGGGTTGAGGGTTCCATCGGGGTTGAGCGTCCTTGCCTGGTGCCCGGGGGCGCCCGCCATGCCGACCGCCACCTCGGGGGCGGTGTCGTTCCACTGCCGCAGCTCGGCCGGGTCGTAGGCCCCGTATTCACCGGTCTCCGAGGCCGAGCGCGAGGGGTGGTTGGCGATCAGCACCGGCTTGCGGTCCAGACGGTTCATCAACCGGATGGCTTCGATCATCCGGGGTTCGGTATCCCGCGTTTCATCGAAGGGATGGGCCTCGTTGCGGTCGAAGCCCGACTCCAGCTCGTACAAGCGCTGGGCCTCGTCCCGGCTGTGGGGAATGATGAGGCTGCTGTGGTCGGCTCCCGGGGAGTTGAACTCCATCCCGTGGAACTGGATCACCTCGGGGACCAGCTCCCGCGAGAGCACCAGCTCGGGATAGGCCCGTTCCAGGTTGACCTTGCTGTGGTTGGGGCCGCCGTGGTCGGTGGCTACCGTCCAGGACAGGCCGAAGCGCCGGGCCATGAGCGCGTTCATGGGGATGGGGTAAATGGCATCACCCCCGATGATCGGGGTGGGTGGATCGTTGTCCCGGTTCCAGCCCACGCTGTAGCGGCTGTGAATATGGTGATCCCCTGCAAGCCAGCGGGCTTCGCCGCCGGATTCCCCGGGGTCTCGGGTCACACAACCCAGATAGAGGAGCAGCAAAGCGGCCCCCGCCAGCCCAATACGAACCGATTTCAGACCCGAAGACCTGGCAAGCAACTTTACCATTTCAAAAGGCTCCTTTCCTCCAGACAGGGCATGGGTCCTCCGGCACCGGCAACCCGGCGGAGGAGTTGGCCTCCCGGTGAGAAATGCGGGCCGTCAGCCATGTTTTTCCCGCAGCACCCGGGCGGCCTGGCACATCGCCTTGAGCTTCCGATAGGCCTCGTCGAGATCCATCGGATTTTGGGCCGAGGGTGCGAATCCGCAGTCGGGGTGCAGGGTGATGCGGCTCTTGTCCAGGTGGCGCATGGCTCCTTCCACCCGCGTCACCACCTCTTCGACAGTCTCCACCCGGGGGTCGCAGTGGTCGATGCAGCCCAGCCCCAGCCGCACCTTCTCCGGGAACCGGGCCAGCGAATCCATCCCCCCGGCCACCGGCGTGGCAAATTCCATGGAAATGGTACCCACCCGAACCTTGCTCAGCGCCGGCATGATGGGGCCCGTAGGGACCCTCGGTGCCGTGTTGGCGGTCGAAGTGGGCATGGCAGAGGTGCATCCCGGTCGCCAGCCCCTGGAAGCCGTCCAACACCTGGTTGACCAAGTCCACACACCGGTCCATTTCGTAGGAGGGATTGTCGATCCCCTCCCGGCGGCGGAAGGCGGGGTCCACCATGGTGGACAGCCAGGGCTCGTCCAACTGGACGGTATCGGCGCCGGCCTCGCGGAGCGCCTCGATTTCCCGGCGCAGGATCGGAACGCAGGCTTCCATCAGTCCTTCCCGGGTGGGGTAAGCCTTCCTGGAGTGGTCCGCGTGCCACATGCGCCGGCCGATGATGTAAGGCGCCGGCAGCGTGATCTTGACGCGGCGCCGGGTACGGGCTCGCAGAAAGCGGAGCTCGTGCAGCACCAGGGGGCGACAGTACTCGATGGGAGCCACCACCGCCGGATAGGGCATCCCGCTGAAGTGAAGGTCGGCCTGGAAGCCGCGCACCCGCTCGGCAAATACCTTGACGTAGCTCTCCCCGGCGCCACTCGCCGTCGGTGATCTCTTCCAGCCCGGCCTGTTCCTGGAGGGCGATGGAGGATTCGATGGCCCGGTCCAGCAGAGGCTCAGCCTCCTGTTCCGAAATGCGGCCGGCCTTGCGGTCCAGGATGACGTCCAGCACCCAGGCCGGACGCGGGCAGGCTGCCAATCACCGTGGTGGGGAACAGGTTCGATTCCATGGAAGGGTCCTCAGAGGAAAGGCGGGGAGGCGTGTCCGCCGGTATCGTTCGCTTCGGGATCGTTAAAAAAACCGCCTGTTGCGGGTCTGATTATACGCCTGGTTGATCTACTGATCCAGATTCGGCTAAATGGGGCGGGGCGTTGTCCCCCCACCGGCTCGACTGCGGGCTCCGCCCTGGTCTCGCCGACTCCCCCTCAAGGGGGGAGTGATACTTGAGGCCTGCACAAGGCTTCTTGCCAGATTCCTTGGCAGGATGTAAACCATGTTCCCGGTCCAAGGTGTAAACGACGTCCCCGGTTCGTACGCGGGTATCACTCCCCCCTCGAGGGGGAGTCGCAGAAGTCGAGCCGCCAGGCGAAGGCTGATGCGGTGGGGGGGCCAACCGATGCCCGAGGCCCAGCCTACAGCACATCGATACAGGCCGAGCGGTTGCCCCCTTGAGGCGGCGTTGCAGAAGCCGAGCTGGAAGCTGCCTCCGGAATTCCCATGGTACAATGTCGAAGATGTGCCGTTCCTGTACGTTCGGACACGGCCCCGTCGGCTGAGCCGTGGGCTCCTGCTGGGCTCCGAGCCAATAAGTTGGCGCGGGCACGGGACCCATCTGATTGGAGAAGTCAGTCCATGGGCCAGTTCGACCCCCTCCTCACTTCCCACGAATTCGCACAGAATCCCTACCCCACCTACCACTTGTTGCGGCGCGAAGCTCCCATATACTGGAGCGATCTCTGGGGCTGTTGGATCCTCACCCGCCATCGGGACATTGTCAGTACCCTGCAGAATCCCAAACGCTTCAGCAGCGTCGGCAGGCTCACCGCCGCCATGGAACTGCCACAACCCGTTCGGGAACAGGTCCAGCCCTTGGTGCGCCACTATTCGCAGGGCCTCATCAATGTGGATCCTCCCGATCACACCCGCCTCCGCCAACTGGTGCATAAAGCCTTCCTGCCCGGCACTGTCAGCGCCATGGCCGGTTACGTTGAAGGGATTGTCGAGCGGCTGATTGAAGAGGCGCAGCCTCGGGGCAAGATGGACATCATCTGGGACTTCGCCTACCCGTTGCCGGTCACGGTCATCGCCAAGCTCATGGGAGTTCCCGCGGCTGACCACGGCAAGCTCAAGCGCTGGTCCGGGAAAATTGTCGAGTTCATGGCCACTCCCAAACCTGCGCCCGAGGTGCTGATGTCATCCCAGGACGCTCTGTTGGCTCTGCAGGACTACTTTCGATCGACCTTCAGAAGGCGCCGAGTGGAGCCCAGGGACGATCTCATCAGTGCTTTGGTGGCTGCCGAAGAGGCGGGGGAACGACTGACAGAAGAGGAACTCATCTCGACTTGCGTGACCTTGTTGATTGGCGGGCACGAGACCACGACCTACCTGATCTCCAGCGGAGTGCTGGCTCTGATCCAACACCCGGAACAGTTGCGGAAGCTGAGAGCCAATCCGGATGGGGCCAGGATGGCAGTCGAAGAGATGTTGCGCTACGAGGGACCCTTCCAGCGCAACCGCCGCCTCGCCACCGAGGCGGTGGAGTTGGACAGCCACCTCATTGAGAAGGGTCAACTGGTGGTACAAATGCTGGGTGCGGCCAACCGGGACCCGGCCGTTTTCCCAAACCCGGACTCATTCGATATTGAGCGGCACCCCAATAGGCATGTCTCCTTCGGTCACGGTCCACACTTCTGTGTCGGAGCTCCGCTGGCGCGTCTGGAAGCTCCCATCGCCATTAATGCACTGCTTCGGCGCTTGCCCAACCTTGAACTGGCAACGGACGAGCTGGTCTGGAAAAATACAGTCTTTCGCGGCCTGGAGCGGCTCCCGGTGACTTTCGGGTGAATGCCTCCCTTATAACCCGCATATCTCACCGGGTCGCTGCGTGCATGATGAAAAGCGGCTTCCATGGGCTTACGCCCACGGCTCAATGCGGACGCCGCATTCGCGGCTTACTGGCACCCCCGGGCTGGCGCCCGGGTGATTATCATTTAAAAATGCGGGCTACCGGAACGCGACTCGGTGCCATCCCTGATCCTCCTGTTTGCTGGGACCCGGGGGCGGCGGCGCGAAGGCATAGAAGTAGCAGAGGTCTTCCTGGCCGTCATTGAAGGACTGGTGTTCGACTCCGGCCGGAATGTAGACGGTCATGCCCTTCTCGACTCTGAAGTCCTGCCCGTCCATGACCAGCCTCCCCCGGCCGCTCACCACATAGTAAATTTCGGCCGACTCGGGATGGATGTCGGCCTGGGTCTCATGCCCCGGGTGCAGCCAGAAGAGTCCGGCCGAGATGTCGTCGGCGCCGCAGGTTTCGGGGCCCACCAGCAGATTGACTCGGCGGGACCCATCGGGAGCCTGCCAAACGGGAAAGTGCTTCGGGTCCAGGACCCATTCCGGATTTTGTGCCATCGGGGATGCCTTTCGTGTGGAAATTGGGTAGCAGGACGGGCAGGATAGGGACCGTCAGCCCTCAACGCTTTCCGCCGCTCTCCGGGCGGAAGTCAAATCAGCAGCGAGCCTCCGTTCACATGCATGGTCGCCCCGGTCATGTAGCCGGAACGGGGACCCGCCAGGAACAGGACCGCCTCGGCGATTTCCCGAGGGGTCCCCTGGCGCTTCACCAGCGACAGCTCGACGTAATCGCTGCCGGTTCTCCTCCCCGAAGGCCTCGGCAAGGGGAGTGTCGATGCTTCCGGGCGCAATGGCGTTGGAGAGGATGCCGTCGGAGGCAAACTGCTTGGCCAGGTATTTCGACAGGGCAATGACGCCCGCCTTGCTCACCCCGTAGCCGACATGACCGGTGATGCTGCCCACGAAAGCTCCCACCGAGGAGATATGGACCAGCCGGCCGAACTTCCGTTTCTTCATGTGGGGCAACACCGCCTTGCTGCAAAGGAAAGCGCTGGTCAGGTTGACCGAGAGCATCCGGTTCCAGCTTTCCAGGGGTGGTCCGGTCCCAGGGAACCATGGGGCAGATCCCGGCATTGTTGACCAGGATATCGATCCGCCCGAACCGTTCCACGGTCGCCTGAGCCATCCGGTCCACCTGGGCTGGGTCGGAAACATCGGTCTCCGAAATCAGCAGGGCGCCGCCGGAGCGCTTCCGCAAATCCGAAACCAGCCGGCGCAGGGGGGGCGCTTGAATGTCCGCCACCGTGAGGCCGGCCACCCCTTCTTCGGCGAATAGCTCGGCCACGCTGCGCCCGATCCCGGAGGCCGCGCCGGTGACGATCGCCACCCTTCCTTTTAATTCATGCATGATGGTTCGGAAGTGCGCCGGCTTGCGCTCGGGCTGGCACTGTGGAGGAGCCGTTCCATCAGGCCATCCCTGCTATGGCGGCATGAACGGCCAGCCTGAGCCAAGCCCGCATTTCTCACCAGGGGGCGCGATCATGGCGCAGGAATTTTTCCCTCAGCGCGTGCTCGCGAGCGAAGGGCGTAGCGGGGAATACGTTCGAGCGAGCATGTGCGCGCTGAGGGGAAAAGGACAAGCCAGGGCGCGCCCAGCGCAGTCTGTAGCCGCAAGTCCCTTAAATGGCGCCAACCAACGTAGTGAAGATAAACCGCTATTCACTATGCATTCAGCGACCTGGTGAGAAATGCGGGCTAACATTACCCTCAGGAAGTCTTCGAGCAAGATCGAGTTTCATGGGCTCCAGCCTCCATGAGCGCTATCTTAAGTCTCCGGAGTCGAGGGATGCAACTCAAGGCGGCATTTGACCTATTGGCGCAGTGGACAGTGCAGTAGACAGAGTAGGCTCCGACCTTCATCCTCAGTTGAGGACCGTCCCTCCGGTCCCTTTCGCCGGCCGGCGCAGCGCGCTGCGCAGCCAGGCGCCCTCTGCTATACTGGCGCCCCTATCCGGACCCGGACATAGAGAAAGATGATGCGGATTCGCTTCGTACATGCCGCCGACCTGCACTTGGACAGCCCCTTCACCGGCTTGATGGCCGTCGCGCCCGAAAACGTGGCGAACACGCTGTACAGTGCGACTTTTGACGCATACGAGAACATCATCAACTTGTGCATTTCCGAAGAGGTGGACGCGCTGCTGGTCGCGGGGGACGTATACGACGGGGCCGACCGCAGCCTGCGCGCCCAACTCAAGTTCGTCGAGGGTCTGAAGAGGTTAGACAACCGAGGCATTCGCTCCTTCGTCTGCCACGGCAATCACGACCCACTGGACGGCTGGCAGGCGCGGCTGGATTATCCGCCCGGCTGTTGCCACTTCGGCCGCGAGTGGAAAGCCGTGCCGGTGTTCGAGGACCCAAACCGTGCGCTCATACACGGCATCAGCTACCCGAAGCGCGACGTCACTGAGAACTTGGCCCGCCGCCTCGGCAAGGTCGATCCCGGCCCGTTCTCCATTGGGCTGCTACACGCCAACGTCAGCAATGACCCCAACCATGAGGCTTACGCGCCCTGCTCGCTAGACGACCTTGCAGGGTCCGGCATCGATTACTGGGCGCTCGGCCACGTCCACACCCGCCAAGTACTGAACGAGCGGGGACCGACGGTCGTCTATCCCGGCAACCCCCAGGGCAGGGCTCCGAACGAGACCGGAGCTCGAGGCGTGTACCTTGTCGAGGTGGACGACGGCGGGAACGTGGACTTGAAGTTCCTCCCAACGGCCACCGTCCGCTGGGAGCGGCTCCAAATCGACATTGACCCGTTCAAGACGGAGCAGGACCTGCTCAACGCGTTGCACCAAGGGATGCAGGGTGTAGTGGACGGCGCCGACGGTCGGTCGGTCGTTGTTCGGGTTACGCTTACCGGGCGCGGTGAGTTGAACCGAAATCTCCGCAGGCCGAACACGATCGAGGACCTCGTCGAAGCAATCAATGGGGAATGGGCTGAACGGTCGCCGTTCGTCTGGTGCGAGCGGATCGAGGACGCGAGCGGCTCGCCCTTCGACCGCGAAGCCAGGTTGAAGGGTTCCGATTTTCTAGCGGAGGTGCTGCGGACGGTGGACCGGTCGAAGACCGATCCGGAATTCCTGGCTGGGCTTGGTGCCGGGCTTCCCGACCTCTACCAGCATCACCGCTTTGGCCAGAACTTGTCCAGGTTTGCCCCAAACGAGGAGGAAATTGCGGCTCTGGTCGAAGAGGCTGAGGCCATGATCTTGAACCTGCTCATCGAGGACGCGCCATGAGGATTCACCGCATCCACGTCAACGGCTTTGGGCGGTTTGCGGACATCGGCTTGGGGCCGTTCGAACGGCCCGTCACCGTTTTTCTCGGTCCCAACGAGGCGGGCAAGAGCACCCTCTTGGAGTTCATTCGGAGGGTGTTCTTCGGATTTCCCGACGGCCGTAGCAGCAGCAATCCTTACCCGCCGCTGGACGGGGGCCGGCACGGGGGCAGCGTCACCATTGTCAGCGACAATGGCGAGACCGTCACCGTTCAGCGATTCCAGGGGATGGGCGGCGGGTCAGTCACGTTGACCGCCGCATCCGGCGGGCCGCTCCCCAAGGGCGATTTGTCACGTCTGCTGGGCCAGCACTCCAGGGACGTCTTTAGGAACGTCTTTACGTTCACCCTTGACGAACTCCACGACGAGGCTCTGTTGAAGGATGACAGCGTCAACGCACAAATCTACAGCGTGGGCATGGGTGCGACAAAGCTGCCCGCAGCACTGAAGGCGCTTGGGTCCGCGAAGCAGGCCCTGTTCCTCAAGGGTGGCAGCAAACACAAGATCGCCGGGGCCGGCGGCGAACTCGCCAAGATCAACTCCACTTTGAAACAAGTTGAGGGGAACGCCGCGAAATACGGCGATCTGATGGACCGGCTCAAACAGGTCGAGGCGGACCTTGAACGACTGAGCGGCCTCCGCCGGAAGCATCGGTCAGAACTTGAGCACCAGAATCAGTTGGAGAACGCCTGGGATGACTGGAACGACCTCAACCATGCCGAGGAAAAACTGGCCGGGTTGCCGGCCATCGACGACTTCCCCGTCAACGGCGTCAGCCGCCTTGAAAAACTGGAGGAGCGGATCAACACTACTCAGCAGGAATACAAATCTGCAGACGCGGATGTGGAGGAAGCCAAAGCCAAGGCGGAGGCGGTGGTCGAACATGAGGCCATCCTCAACCATTCGACCGACATCCGAAAACTGGCACAGGGCCGCACCTTCGTCGACAACTCCGACCGCGACTTGCTGAAGCGCAATACTGAACTCAAAGGTCATAAGAAATCGTTGGCCGCGACCCTGAAGGACCTGGGTCCTGACTGGGACGAAACCCGCCTGGAGAATTTCGACCTGTCCATGGATGTCCGCGAGGATATCTTGCAATACAAGGGACGTCTGCGAAAGGCGCGCGAGGAACTTGACGAGAGGAATTCCTATCTCACTCAGCGTGAGACTTTGGTGGAGGAATCCATTGAGGCGGAGGGCAGGGCCAGAAGGGAACTCGAAGACGCCGTCAAGGCAGTCAGTCGCAAGAACGGCAGTAAGGTGCTACCGGCAGTCTGCGTTGCCGCCGGCATCGCGCTATTGGCCGTGGGGGCCGTACTTGGCGGGTCTGCTCTCCCCGTAGGTGTTGCCGCCGGAGTCGCGCTCGCAGGTGTCGGCGCATACTTGTTCGTATCCGGCCAGCCATCTACTAACGCTGGCATGGAACATGCGCGTCTCTCCAGAGAACTCCAACAGGCGAAGGAGTTAACTAAGCAGCGGAATGGCAGAGTGGAAAAATCCAAGAAAGCCGTCAAAGTGGCTGATGGCTCACTCACGTCCATTCAGAGAGAATGGCGACGGTGGCTCGCAGAACGCGATCTGCGGGAGACGTACTTGCCGGAGACCGTGGTGGAGCTTCGCGGCACAGTCGAACTTGGACGCACTCAATTGAGCACTCTACGAAGCCATAGGCAACGCATCGACGCTATTCAGAAGGACATCGACGATTACGTTGCAATAGTTGCTCCTCTGGCCTCGGACTTCGACGTTCCCTTCGGCAGGAACGAATTCAAAACGGTCGCCGCCGCTGCCGACAGGCTGATCGAACTGCACGATGAGGTCGAGGAAACGGCCAAAGACCGGAAGGCCGCTGAGAAGGAATTGAAGAAGGCCAAGCGCCAGTTGAAGGAGCGCGCCAGCGATCTCCGGAAGGCGGAGGAGGAGATGAAAGACCTGCTCCGGTCAGGCGACGCCACTGAGGCCGAGGACTTTCGTAAGCGTGAGGAGACTTACCTTTGGCGAACGGACCTGAAAGAGAAACGACGTGACGTACTTGGTCGGCTGCAGCGCCTCAGCGGTCCTGGAGAGCGGCTCGAAGCCCTAAAGAAGCAACTCGAAGACACGGATATTCAGACTATCCGCGACGAGAAACGCTTGCGTGAGGAAGAAATTGAACACGCCGACGCAGAGATAAGGGAGTTGTCCACCAAGCGAGGATCGATCCAGTCCGACCTCAAGAGTCTGACCGGCGAAGAGGAATCATCGAGGCTGCGGGCCGAGCGCCACCGGCTTTTGGAGGAGATGGGCGGCCATGCGCGAGACTGGGCTGTTCGCACCATCGCCGAGAACCTTCTTAAGGAGGCGCAAGGCAAGTACGAGAGGGAGCGGCAGCCAAACGTCGTCCGCCTTGCCGAATCGTTTTTCAAGGGCATTACTGACGGGCGTTACCAGACCGTGTTCTCCCCACTTGGCAGTTCGGAGATACACGTTACGGATTCCTTGGGCGTTTCCAAACAACCCGTCCAACTCAGCCAGGGCACGCGGGAGCAGTTGTTTCTGTCACTGCGGTTCGGGCTGGTCCGCGAGTTGGGCCAGCGGTCGGAGCCACTCCCGGTGATCGTGGACGAGGCGTTGGTGAACTTCGATCCCGAACGGGGCCTGCGGGCCGCCCGCGCATTCGTGGAGTTGTCCCAGACAAATCAGGTGCTGGCCTTCACTTGCCACCCGACGATCGTCAATATTTTCCAAAGCGCCGCAGCCAAGCTAGGCGTGCAAGAACCCGAAGTGGTCCTAGTTGGGTAAGGCGACCGAAGAATTCAAACCTCTCGCTGTATGGCCGTGAACGAAGCTATGGCCACCGCTACGCCGGTTGAGGTGGTGCCTGGTGGCTTCCATGCCGTCGCCCAGGGCGATCTTGATGGCGTTGGCTGTTTTGTTCACTGCTCCATCGATTCTGGCCGCGTCTTCTCGCGGCAGGGATCTAGCCCGCATTTCTCATCAGGACGCTGAGCATAAGGTAGAAAAGTGCTTGTCTTTAACATCTTGCCGTGCTTTGTTTGGAGTCTTCAGGGTACAGACTGCGCTGGGCGCGCCTGAGCTTGCTTGGGATCGAACACCAGGGATGATTGCTGCCGCCGCCTACGCGGCTCGGGGGATGGAGTTGCCCTTTTCCATGGGCTTACGCCCACGGCTAAGTGCGGACGCCGCATTCGCGGCTTACTCGAACCCCGGGCTGGCGCCCGGGGACTATTCTATTAATCCTGTCCGCCTGCAGTGTCGTGATTTTGGGGAGAGCGGTGAAGCCGCAGTTGGCGTGGTTCACCCGAGGAAACGTCCCCTACAGGTCTTCCTTATAAAGCGGCGTAGCCGCGCCAGCACTTAGCCGTGGGCGTGAGCCCATGGACGTCGTATCCACCGCTGACGCAGCCGCGTAGGCGGCGGATTAATGGCGACGATCGGGAACGCGCTGTCCTTCCCAGAGCAACGTCATCCCCCGCCCCCGCAGCCTGCGTAGGCGGCGGTTTAGGGGCGCCGTCCCGGAACGCACTGCCTCTCCAAAATCACGCCGAACACGTTCCTCACTCCCTGTACTCTTCTCAAGACTGCAACCCCTGGTGAGAAATGCGGGATAGACGCGTGCGCGGGCTACTCCGCCGCATAATCCCGGTACTTGCCGAAAAGGGTCACGAACCTGGTGGACAGGGCATCGAAATTTCTCGACTGCACCGGGGACCCCGGGCCTGCCGCAGGAGCAATCAGGGCGAGATTTCTGTTCCCTATGAAGCTGGTTCTCACCGTCTCCTGCATTCTGGTCGGAAGGTAGTAGGACCGCTTGCCGATTCCAATCCTCTTGTAGTCGATGGTGAGCTCGTAGGCCTTGATGGGTGACTCCTTGGGGATCTCGGGTCCTTGGTGCGGAAACGCACCACCTGGAAGTCCTTCAGGTCGATCCAGCAATGCCCCTCATACCCGTAGGTGACAGACGTCTTGTCAGATACGCGGAGGGTTCGCTTGGAATGCTCGACCGGGACACTAAAGCGGACGCGCGCCACTTCGCGGCCGTTGATCTTCTCCAGGCGTTCCAGTTCCAGGGTGGCTTGGGATTCCGGGGAGAAGAGCTCGGCGATGGCGGGACCGAACTCGCCGGCCGTCTGGGGAGGAGCGCTGCTGGCGCCCACGTTCTTGTAATGCTTCTGCTTGCCATGATAGGACAATTCGTGAGCCAGGTACTCCTCCTGCCTCCATCCCCCCCGGCCGATCTGGCGGTAGCGGCGGGTGGACTGATTGCAGACGAACTCGGGCAGGTTGCGCTGATAGTCAAAGGTTTTGGCCCGAACGGTTTTCAGGAACAGCGGCCAGTTCTTGCTGGTGGGCCTGGTTCCCGGCGCCAGAAGATCCGACGCTTTCCTGGCGACGCGCCGGGGGCGTTTCCTGGAGACCTTGACCACCCGGGCCGAGGCCACGAATTCCAAGGCTTGCTTCTTGCACAGCAACTTGTCGGGCAGTTGCGTCGCCTTGTCGCAGGCTGCCCCCGCCACTTCCGTGGGCCGCAGCAGGGGGGCGTCCGGGTTGCCGGTGGCCAGGATCCGTCCCTCATCCCCCACCACCGCGCCGGTCAGGTTGGCCCCCCGCAAGTTCGCCTCCTTGAGGTCGCTCCCCGACAAGGAGGCTCCCGACAGATCGGCGTTCTGCAGGTCCGCTCCCGTCAGCAGCGCTTCATCCAGGACGGCATTCTTCAGGTTTGCCTCAGCCAGCGAGGCGTCGCTCAGGTCGGCCTGGGTCAGATCGGCCTGGCTGAGATCGGCCTGCTCGAGCTGGGCTCCCGTCAGGTTGGCCTGAGCAAGCAGGCTCTGCGAAAGAACGGCTCCTTGCAGATTGGCGCCCATGAAGTTGGCTCGATACATCTCCGCTTTGGTGAAGTCAGCTTGGCGAAGATCCGCTTTGAGGAAGTCGGCATTGTCGGAAAACCCATTTTGAAAATTGAGTCCGGTCAGCACTGCCTCGCTGAGATTTGAGGAAGAGACTTCAACGCCTTCCCAATTGAGGTTGCTCAAATCGACCCCACTGAGATTGACCCCGAACAGGATCACCCGGGCGAACAGCGCCTGCTCGAATTCGACTCCCCGCAGGTCGGTGTTTCGGATGACGGCCTCACTCAAGTTCGCTCCATTGAGCTTGGCTCCCTTCAATTGGGCCCCCGATACGTGGGCGGCCGTCAGATCGGCCCGGGTCAGGTCGGCCTCCCGTAGATCGGTTCGGGTGAGGGTGGCCTCGGTGAGCCGAGCTCCAACCAGGATCGCCTCCTGGAGGTTGGTGTCGGTCAGGATGGCGCCTGCCAGATTGGCGCCCGAGAGGTTGCTGCCCTGCAGGTCGGCCTTGGACAGATCCGCCTGCCGCAGGTCGCCGCACTCCCCCCGAAAATCCGGATTGAATCCTTGAACTCCACCCTCGTCGGTGCATCCCTGTTCGCCCCGGTACCTGAATTGCGGGGTTTCGCCGGCGGATTCCGGCGGGGCCGAGGCCTGAGCGATGTTCCAACCGCCTCCCGAGGCGGCCGGGGACGCCAGGCCGGCGAGGTCTCCCTGGATCTTCCGCACGGCCGGTCGGCCTTCCTCCCGGACCGGGTCAGGCCCGGGGGCTTCGGAGGAGCCGACCGTCAAGGGCCAGAGAAGCAGCACCAGCAGCACCGGCCCCTGCTTCGGCAAGCGAGATCTGATCGAGGTGTCGACACTCACGTTCACGACTGACTCCTAATGAGTGGTTCCCGGCCCTGCCCGGCGGACTCACACCGGGATGGCGGCTTGGATCGACAGGTGCCGAGACGGGAACCCGGGCTGTTCCGGCCGGAAGCCGAGGCCGCCAACCGGACCCCGGCAGTCCGCCAAAACGAATCGGGAATCCACTAGGACTATAGCGTTTTGGATTGGGGCCTCAAGCGGCTTCCACGCCCCGGATGGAACCGGAACGGGATCGGGGGCCGGGGCGGCAACCCGGGGGAACGTCCTGTGGATGACCTCGCTGGGAATCGGCAATGACCCATTGGCTAGCCCGCATTTCTCACCAGGGGGCGTGATCATGGCGCGCCCAGCACAGTCTGTGCCCTGAAGACTCCAAACAAAGCGCCGCAAGATGTTAAAGACAAGTGCGTTTCTACCTTAGGCTCAGCGTCCTGGTGAGAAATGCGGGCTAACTGCCCAGCTCATCCTGCTTCTTTCTGAGATCGAGGAGTTCCGATTCCACCAGCCTCACGTTATCGTAAGTGACCATTCCATCTTCCGGGATGTCCCGAATCACCTCGGCGCCATGGGTCAGGCCGATGGGAACCAGTCGTTCCTCCCGGGCCGCCTCCGCCCGCTCAACCATTCCATAGGTGGCGTAGCCCCCCTCTCCGTCCAGCACGGTCCCCGCCTTTAAAGGCTTCTTGGCCGAAGCCACCACCTCGGAAATCTGCCCGATCACCGAAGCCACCGGTTCCCGGTAGATCATCATGCGGGCGATCCCGATCGGAACTTCGTGTCCGACGAAGTGTTGGGGGCGATAGATCATGGCGTGCCGACTCTGGCGCCGATGATCATGCCGGTGATTTCTCCGTAGGAGCTCATCGACTCGACCGGAAAGTCATCCTGGCCTTCGACCACCGCATACAGGCCTCCGCGCAGGCTGCGCTCCACGGCGCTGCCATCGGGGAAGATGGAGCTGACCGCCTCCACCACCCCCTCGTTCTCCAGGATTCCGCCGAGCTCCTTGCGGCAGAGCTTGTCGGGGATCTCTCGCAAGTCCGCGGTGGGAAAGTGCATCCCACGGATGTCGGGACCAGGCCGGTGGCGTTGGAGAGGGCCGCCATCTCGATGGAGTGCTTGGTGCCATCCAGGAAAGAGCAGAACATGCTGGCGTTGTAGTCCTTGCCCTTGAAACCGTACATCCTGGGGACGTCATCGGGATTGGCCTTGCGAAAGGCCAGCTTGAAGCGGGTTCCCTTGCCCGAGGCGATCAGCTTGAACCCGAGCGTCCGCGCCCAGTCGCAAAGCTCGGCGGCCAGGGCCGGCTCGTCTCCATAAGCCATGCTGTAGAGGAGGCCGGCTCGATCGGCCATCCGTTTGAGCAGGGTCCCCACCAGGACGTCGGCCTCCACCGTCACCATGACCAGGTTCTTTTTTTGCTGAATGGCCCGATAGCCGTTGACCGCACCCACTTCGGGAATGCCGGTGGCTTCCACCACCACGTCCACCCGGCTGGCGAGCAACTCGGCGGCTCCGGCGGTCACGGCCGGTCGATCCCGCTCCATGGCCTGGTCGATTTCGCCGGCCGTTTTGGCGACCTGGACGTCCTCCCGGGGAACGCCTCCGAGGCTCAGGGCCCGGACAGCCCGTTCCAGCTTGAGGTCGGCAATGGCCGCGATCCGCATGCCTTGCATTCGGCAGGTCTGAGCCACGATTTGAGTGCCGAAGGTTCCGGCGCCGATGATGCCGACCTGGATCGGACGCCCCTCGCTCTCCAGTTCGGCCAGTCTTTGATGAAGCATCTTGGAATCCCTCCGTGGGGTTAGCCGGCCAAAATCGATTTCAGGCGCTCGGCCACAATCCGGTCTTCGCCCGGGCGCAGCATCCAGACGGAAACGGTCAAGCCCTGCATATTTTTCGGGGATTGGCTCTTGGGCCGCAGCCAGCGGTGGCCGCCCACCTCGATGGGCGGGTTGCCCTCCTTGAGCCGCCCGGAAGCCTGGGAGGAGGTGATGGGGATCCGGTCGTAGTCCCACTCGAGGCTGAGGTGGGGAACGTGGTTGGCGATCTCCGGGACAAACGACTCCGCCTGGACCCCCCGGATGGGCGCGAGGGCCGCGGCAATGGTGGCCACCCGGGACTGGAGGAGACGTTTCTCGGCCTGGTGGTCCACCTTGAGGTAGCGTTCCACCGCCGCCAGCAGGCCGATCATCTCCTCCTTGCCGACCTTCATGCCCCGGCCAATGCCGGACCAGGGGCTCCCGCTCCGTCTTGCCGCCATCACCAGGTCCTTGCGTCCCAGCAGGAGGCCGGAACACTGAGGCCCCAGCAGCCCCTTGCCTCCGCTGAAGGTCACCAGGTCGAATCCCATCCGGACATACTCCGACAGCCGCTCCTTGGGCGGGACGTCGGCGGCGGCGTCGTTGAAGGTGGGGACCCCGTGCTTCTTGCCCATGGCGACCCAGGTCCGCCGATCGATTTGGCCCTTGGGGTTGAAGGTGTTGATGAAGAAGAGCATGGCGGTCTGGGGATTGATGGCGGCTTCCAATTGAGCCGTGGTTTCGACTTCCACGATTTGGTGCCGACCACCCGCACCTGGGCTTCGTAGGCTTTGCGGTGAGCCTTCTGGATGATGACCTGGTTGGGCATCCCGGCGGTGTCGGGCAGTTGGGCGATCTTGTCGGGATCTCCCCGGGTGACGCAAGCCGCCGTGCCCACGGTGATGGCGCCGGCGGCTCCGCTGGTGACGGTGGCGGCCTCCACTCCAATCAGCCGGGCGATGCGCTCGCCCACTTTTTCGTGGAGATCGGCCAGAGGGACGAAGTGCTTCCCGGCCTCCTCCATGGCCCGGGCCACCTCGGGCGGCATGATGCACCCCCCCAGCCGGGTGACCGTCCCCAAGGCGTTGATGTAGGTGGGCACACCCAGCCGGCTGTAGACGTTGTCTTCCGTTTTCGGAGGGGAGGCCGTCGCCTCTTGAAGTCCGGCGGCGGCCAGCAGGGCCGGAGGCGTCGAGAGCCAAGCGGCCCCCGACAGGAACCGGCGGCGGCCCAACAGAAGGTGTTTCGGTTGCATGGTTCCTCCTCTATCCTGATTGGGAAACAAGGGTGGCCAGTGCCCCCCACCGCATCAGCCGTCGCCTACGGCTCGGCTTCTGCGACTCCCCCTCAAGGGGGGAGTGATACGCCTATCTGGGACTCCGCCGCGAGGCGTCGTCCTGAGGGTCATAGCCCAACTCGGCGCGGGCATTGGAGAGGTCCCAGAAGGCCCCCTTGTTGTTGGAGATGGCGTAGTAGACCCCGTAGCTGACATTGGCGCGCAGACAGCACTCTACCAGATGGACCAGGTCGCGGTGGCTCAGCCAGGTTCGCAGAAACCTGGGATCGGTGGTGGGATCGTCGTCGTCGCGCACCGAGCCGATCCTGAGACAGATCGATTCCATTCCCCAGCGGGCACAGTAGTAACGGGCCAGAATCTCGCCGAAGGCCTTGCTCACGCCGTAGTCGCTGTCGGGCCGCATCGGATGGTTCACGAGATGGGAACCGGCTCCGCCTGCCTGTGGAGATGCAGGTGGGGCGCGAAGCCCTCGTAGGCGCCGGTCACGTGGTTCGAGCTGGCGAAGACCACCCGTTTCACCCCCGATACCCGGGCGGCCTCATAGAGGTTGCGGGTTCCCTGGATGTTGACCCGAAGCACGGGCTCCCAGGCGGTATCGACGCTGATCTGGGCCGCCAGATGGACAACGCATTGGACGGGAGCCAGATTGTCGAGGACCTGCGACACCTGCCGGGGATCGGCGATATCGGCCTGGAAGACCCGATCGGAAACGGGCGGCGTGAGATCCAGCCCGTAGACCTCGAAGGATTTCCCCAAGGGGTCCTGGATGACCCTTCCGATGAGACCGTTGATGCCGGTAATGAGCAGTTTGGGTTTGGGCATGGCGAAACCGGTGGATTATAGCAGGCCGTGACCCGTGCCGTCCCCCCTTCCTGCGGTCCAATTCGGCCGTGACCGGTCGGCCCGGCCGCCGTCGACTCCTCAAATCACTCCTCCCTTGTGAGGGAGTCGCTATTATCGTCCTGCACGCAACCGTAGGGGCGCCCCTTGTGGGCGCCCATCCGGGAAATCACCGGGCATCACTGCGCGGGCACCACAGGGTGCCCCTACGTTGAGTACGCGATTGAACCATGTTCGGCTTGCACAGAAGCCGAGCCGACAGGCGATGGCTGATGCGGTGGGGGGCCAAACAACGCCCGCTGCCCCACCTTCAGCACATCCATACAGCGCCAGCCTCTTGCCCCAGGGGAAGGTAACTCGGCTATAATTCGGGAAACGCCCTCACGGGACTCCTGCTCCCGGGGCTTCATGATTCCGGGACCAGCTTGCAAGGAGAGATCATGTCCTTATTTCAAGAGAGTATTCTGGAACTCATCAGCGAGACCTCCACCAATCTCCCGCCGGATGTCCGGCGGGCCATGGCCGACGGACTGCACTCCGAGACTCCCGCCACTCAAGCGTCGCAAGCCCTCAACGTCATCGCCACCAACATCGACATGGCGACCCAGGACGAGGGGCCCATCTGCCAGGATCACCGGGATGCCCACCTTCAAGATCAAGACCCCGGTGGGCGCCAACCAACTGTGCTGCGGGAGGACCTCCGCCATGCCGTCGCCGAGGCCACCCGGCGGGGCAAGCTCCGCCCCAACTCGGTGGATTCGCTGACGGGCAAAAACAGCGGCGACAATCTGGGCCCCGGCACCCCCATCGTGCACTTCGAGCAGTGGGAGAACGCGGAGGAGATCGAGATCAAGCTGATCCTCAAGGGAGGCGGCTGCGAAAACAAGAACATCCAGTACTCCGTCCCCTGCGAGCTGCCCCACCTGGGGAGAGCCGACCGGACCCTGGACGGGGTTCGCAAATGCATCCTGCATGCCGTCTGGCAGGCCCAGGGGCAGGGGTGCAGCGCCGGAGCCCTGGGCGTCTGTATCGGAGGCGACCGCACCTCCGGATACACTCACGCCAAGGAGCAGCTTTTTCGAACCCTGGACGACACCAATCCCAACCCTCAACTGGCCGCGCTGGAGGACTACATCATGAAGGCCGGCAACACCCTGGGGATCGGCACCATGGGCTTTGGAGGGCAAGTAACGCTGATCGGCTGCAAGGTGGGTGTCCTCAACCGCCTGCCGGCCAGCTTCTTCGTGTCGGTGGCCTACGACTGCTGGGCCTTCCGGCGGCTGGGGGTCATCCTGGATGCCAGCACCGGGGCTCTGAAGCGCTGGCTCTATCGGGAGGACAAACCGGCGGCTCCCATGGCTGTCGGCGAAGGATTTCCACGCACGGGCAAGGAAGTCCGGCTGCAGGCTCCACTCACCGAGGAAAAAGTGCGCCGGCTCAAAATGGGCGACGTGGTCCTGGTCAGCGGTGAGATCTACACCGGCCGCGATGCCGTTCACGCCTATCTGATGAAACATGATTCTCCGGTGAAGCTGCAGGGCAGCGTGCTCTACCACTGCGGCCCGGTGGTTATGAAAGACAACGGCCATTACCGGATCACGGCGGCCGGGCCGACTACCAGCATTCGCGAAGAACCCTATCAGGCGGAGATCATCGAGCGATTCGGCATTCGAGCCGTGATGGGGAAAGGAGGCATGGGGGCCAGAACGCTGGCAGGGCTGAAAGCATCGGGCGCCGTCTACCTGAACGCCATTGGCGGGGCAGCCCAGTATTACTCCCGCTGCATCGAGGAGGTGCTGGGGGTCCACCTGCTGGAATTCGGCATTCCCGAGGCCATGTGGCACATCCGGGTCAAGGACCTGCCCGCCATCGTCACCATGGACTCCCACGGGAATTCACTGCACGCCGACGTGCACAACGCCTCGGCCGTTCTGCTGTCCAAGCTGGCCGAGCCCGTTTTTTCTGAAGACCCGCCCCCCTTGCAGAGGCCGGCCAGGGAGAGGCGCTTTCGGCTCGAGCCCTTGCAAGCAGGAAGCGGACAGACTATATTGAGGGCTGCCGGACCGCCTCATGGTGCGGCACCAGCGAGCGGGAGTAATTCAGCGGTAGAATGCCAGCTTCCCAAGCTGGACGCGTCCGGGTGGCGCTCCCGTCTTCCCGCTCATAGCGGTTTCAGCAAGCCCTTAGACTCGAAACCAATGCACCG